CCTGTTTGGACAGACCTGTGAGCAGGCCATTGCAGTAGTCTAACCTACTGGAGACAAATGCATGGATAAGAATCTCCAAGTCTGCTTTAGACACTATGTTTTTGATCCTGGCAATGTTTTTTAAATGGTAAAAAGCTGCTGATGTTACTGATTTAATGTGGCTTAATATTACCCCTAGATTTCTGACCTTGTTTGAAGGTTTTAGGGAGAGAGACTGTAGGTGACAGATGACGCTCTCTCTTGTTTCTGGTGACCAAAGACAGTAATTTCAGTTTTGGCTGCGTTTAGCTGGAGAAAGTTATAAACGATCCGATCATACTTTGATGTTTTTGTCCCAGTTGTATACCCAGTGCTTTATGTAGACCCACTGTTTTCCTTCCACTACAAGACCTAAAGCGGGGATACCTATTTCTTGGTTAATACATTCTGTCTGTCCCAACTGAGTCTTGTTTAAAAACATTTTGTGAACAGTTACGAAAAGATGCTGTTTTCATTTGATTATAAAACATTTGATCTTTTACATGCTAAGAACTGAATTGCTGAGTGAGGCCTGGTACATTTCACTAACAGAAAAAAGCACTTCTATTCAATTTGTATAGACCTAAATCACAACAGTAGTTATCTCGGAGGACTTTACAAAGCTGTCGATTCGCCCACGCAGATCAGAGAATCAAACAACCATTGGTTCATAAGGGCAAATGACCAATGTCCATAAATGTTGATGAAGTCCATACAATGTCGTGTCCTGGATCATCACCACTGTCCTTGGATCCTCCTGCATCGGCTAAGAAAAAAAACTCTAACCCTACATATAAAGAAAACTAGAGATAGTACTGAACAATTTTTAAAGCAAGAAACTAGTTACATGGATTTCATTTTATGACATTTTTGTTTTAATCAATTCAGTCATAATTTTTGAAGTGGAGAAAACCCTCTAATTGTAATTGCAAAAAACAGTTGGCATTTTATATGACATTCAAAATTAAAAAGTCAGCCCAAGAGAACACATTTGAAATAACTTTTTGAGTCAAAGATTGTGATATTGCTAAACCTAATTTGGAGGTTGCAGGTTTTCCGGAGCACGGTTATCTACCCAATTATGCATTTTTTACATATCACATCTATTCTATCCTTCCAAACCTGTGCCGTTGTACTAACAGTGCCTGGCCTTCTTCGTCTTGATCCTTACAAACTTACTTTGTGTCTTTCTGATTGAGTTGTGTGCTTTTCCCAGCGCTCACTTGCATTATCCCCGAACATGGGTCATATTTATCCACGCCAGTGCTGGAGATTCTGTGTGGGTGGGGGCAGGCAATCTGAGTGTGTTTGGAAAAGGAGACAAGAGATATTATCATCTTATGCACTCATCACGTCAAGACTCGGATTTGGCCGCACATAAACAAACCGAGTCAGTTCGGGGTCAGGAGTTTTCTCATCGAGTCGATTACACAGCGCTAAGGGCAGGGCAGATACATGTTTGTGTGTTGCGCTGGGGGTGATGGAAGACTCGATACCGCACATAATAACTGTAATGTCGTCCTGAAGTCATTAAGGCTCAGCTTCAAGGATCTAAACGCAGACGGCTTGACAAGGACAGTCATGCATAGCGTACACAAGATCTGTTTATAAAGGCTGACAGGCTGGTGAATCATAGACTTTCCACAAATACGCTTGAAAAATGACTGTGGCAAAGTGTTTTAGTTCATGTGTGCTGTGTGATATTTATTCATGTACAAACAGTCACATCTAATTAGTTTTTACTGCTGCTTACTGCTTACTTTTTTGCCCCAGATGTGATAAAAAGCATATTATGACTCCCATAACACTGCTGACTTCTTATTATTTATTTAGATTATTTTCTGACTTCCGTAATTAATTGCTCTTTGATGACACGGTGCCGCCACTTTAGCACAGAGAAGAAAACACGTGTAGAAGTTTGGGCTTATAGCGTGGTGTGAGTATATGGATTGTTCGAGCAAGATTACTCAGACATGCATGAGCACTCTATGTACTAACTGGATAAAGGGGAAGGGCATGTATTTATAACATGGTCAAAAGGTCTTGAGTTGATTTAGATTGTCACTTTGATATATGAACCACAAAATAGGAAGGCAGTACATAAATGAATGAACTAATAGGATCCATGCAAATCATGTGTGATATAAATAAGTTGTCCTTAGAAGCCGAGGTTTTTGACAGATAACAACATGACATGGACCTTTTGAACCTGCTGCAGCAGACATTTAGCCTGGAGAAAGTGTCAAGCTGTGATTATAGATGGAATTCATTCATCTGTTTCTCCCAAATCAAACAGCTCAAAGTGTGAATCAGGTTTAATTTAAGGCGAAATGATGTGCTCCACTGAAATGTTGGTATTATTCTGATTGAATGTGTTGGCCCCAGGGGGAACTCCAGTCTGACGGAAATCCGAGATTAATTTGTTGCGGCTATATAATTGTACTAGATCAATTCTGTAATTACAACAGGTTGTACTCATTCCAATTGCATTTGCCGAAAACAAGAAAGATAATTTGTATTTTCAAGTTGGCAAAAAACCAACATGATTATTATCAAATAAGAAGTAGAAGTAGTTATTTGCTTTTGTCTGATATTTCTTTGTGTCACCTCTCTGGTGGGGCTGAGGTTGTTAAGGAGGTTTGGGACATGTTCACATTGTCCCAAGTGAACCGGAGTTTCCCTCAGTGGACCAGATGTGGTTCCACTGGTTCCACTTCAGCAGAAAAGCTTAATTTGTGGAGATTTGGAACAACCAAACAAGTTCACACTGGTCCAGTAGTTACATAAGCCATTCATATCTTTTGAAACACATCTGGGACATTATGGGCCTCTGGTTCTCCAGGGACCAGGTGTGATCACATAGAGATGAACCCTCTATAGATACCCGTAATCAGGCTTACCTCCATCATACTCAGCCTGGCCTCCAGAACACATCTGGGAGCGAGTTGCCTACACAGCCTCAAAAGAAGCTGAATTCAAGTCATTCTTCTTAGACCCCACAGTTCTTGTGTGAGATTGGATGACAGGTCAGTGCAGAATCTGTAGTGATGCAGACCGTGGTGAAGAGGTGAAGAGCTTAGCCGATAGTTAAAGTTCTCACCCTCACTTATGGTTACGAGCATTAGGTAATGACAGCTGAAAAGCTCGGTGTAGACTCGCTGCTGCTTAAGGCTGAGAAGAGCCACATGAGGTGGTAGTGGCATCTATTTCGGATGAGTTGCGAGGAGCTTCGGGCATCACCCGAGGCCCCAGGGGAAGACCTATAGGTTTCAGATTCAGATTCAAATTCAGAAAACTTTATCAATCAATCAATCAATCTTTATTTATAGGGCGCTTTTCCTGCACAGGGCAACACAAAGCGCCTCACAGTCCACACCACACAATGCACAAATCATCACCATTAAAATACAATTAAAAACACATATGTGATTTTAATGCTTTTTAATTACATAAGTATTTATTTATAAGTATTTATTGATCCCAAAGGGCCATTCATTTGCACCATAAACTCAAGGTAGAACATACGTACTCTACACAAACACACAGTGAGCCTCACAGTTCACACAGCAGCAGGTTACACAATATAAGTTACGAAAACAGCAATGAACAACACAGTTCCCAAAAAGTCAAACACCTCTACCAGAGCTCAAGTTTTATGGCAGAGGGCACAAAATAATTGGAAAAACAGTTATTTTTTCGTGTTGGAACATAAAAACGACGCCCTGAAGGCATCAATACAAAGTCAGCGATCAGAGGATGTTTGGGCTGAGCCAGAATACATTTAGCTTTATTCAGCACCTGTTCCTCCCACAGAGATTGGAGGTCTCTGAGTTTTCCTCCAGTGATTTTGGAGCAAGTTCTCACAATACTCTGTAACCTGTTTCTGTCCTTCACCGTCAGGCTTTGGAACCAACAGATTAAAGAAAAGCTAAGAAGGCTTTCAATAAAAGAACAATACAAATGATTAAGAACTGTCCTTTTTACATTAAAAGGTACATTCTCTGCTGCAACCGTTTAATGATAGGCTCAATGTTTATGTCAAACTTCAGTTTGTTGTCTATCGTTGTTCCCAGATACTTGTAACTGTCCACGATTTCAACATTCCCACCGTGGATGACGCTGGTGTCATTGGATGTGACGCGTCTGAAATCAATGATCATGTCTTTGCAACATTTAAATCCAAGAAATGGGTTTCACACCAGGAGACAAATTGTGCTTGTGCAGGTAGTGCAAATGTAGTGCAAAACCAAAGTAAACTGATTGAATGATTGTTGCATACATAGAGCCAAAACAAAGCCTGTGGACTTTACTGATGAGCCCTCTAGTTAGCTCTAGTAATTGCTAGTTAGTTTTATCTGAGCACAAGCCGTTTACATGCTGAAGTGTTCGTCTTTTTCACGCCTGATTCTGTCACCACTTTGTCACCTCCACAACACAAACATCACACCTTCAATAATGACGAACGCACTCGGACTCCTCTCTTCTTTTGGCAGCCTGCACACAGCTCGCATCCCTGCTTGAGATTATATTCCCACTCAGAAGAAAAGGCTCATATATATGTGCAGAATAGACTAAACAATATATCTTTGAAACAGCAGTGAAGCATTTGCGATATTGTAACCACAATACCCCTGCTCCCTCTGCTATTTTTGTAATTGATGGCAAAAGCCACAGAGCAGCTCCCATTTGTTCGGCAGAAGCACAGACGACTTCTATATGAGCCGGTGCATTCCTGGTTGGATGCTCAGACACAAAAATGTAATATGATGCAATATCGGTGATAGCCGCGAGATCTCGGTGGTATTCTTCAGCGCAGTAATAGTGTGCTTTTGATTGATGGAAAGCTCAAGGCGAAATGTCGAAGCCTCCGAGGTCTTCCCCGCGGTGCCCCAACTGGGGTAAGGGCCTATTGCTTTTCCAACAAGTAAAGCCCAGGCAAAGCCCAGGCAAAGCCCAGGCGAAGCCCAGGCGAAGCCCAGGGATTACTCGTTGTAACTGTCACAATTGTGACCTGCACGCAACGGCACGTGCCCAAGCACTGATAAATCCGTGCCTCCGGCACGGAATGGCTTTGTTCCTGCTGTAGTGTCCCCCAATCCCAACGGGGTGTGCCCAGACACTGATAAAACGGAATGGCTTTGCTCCTGCTGAAGTACACAGTGAAATGAATGGGGTCATATGGAGGGGGGGTGATCTCATGATATCGAGGTGATTGACGAGCGTGTCAATCACCGAGTACCTAATAGTTGCGTTTGCCTTGTCGTTCGCTTTAAAACGATGTATCATTTGTATTATAGGTTTCTATGGAAACCTATATTGTTTCCTTGGTTTATTTATTTTTTCTTCTGCGCTTTGAACCTTAATTTGACCCCCTGAACATTGATGAAAAGTTGTGAAATTTTGCCCAAAATTCAGAACCGGCAAAAAATTACCTAAAGCACCTAAAGCCCAGATCTAAAGGCTTTCTGGGTTTAGACCCACTTTAACTGGGCTTTAGGTTGGTCTTCGGACCGCAGCCTTAAATTCCCTGTGTCCTTCACTTGTTTAGTTCTTGTCTTTCGTCTTGTGTTCGGTATCTTTACTCTGAATTTTGATTTTGCATTTGCTTTTATTAATTAAGTTAATTTTGCCATTTTGCATTTTGGGTTTGACACAATAAGCGTCCTCCAACCACTTGTCAAACTGTACTTCTGTGTGTTTTGTATCTTGTTTGAAATAAATGTATTTGAAATGGGAAAAAAGCCTTTCAAAGAGGAGAAAGAACCTCATTCTACAAAACACCCCTGTCATAACACACGCTGTTAAAAGAGTTTCTGTTGTCATTGAAATGTGAAAATATGAAATGTATTTTAATAACAATATCTAGCTTCACACAGCCACTAACAATGAGGAAAAAAACTATTATGGTGTTATGTGTTAAAAATACCTTCTTTTTATAAATTACATCACATTAACTTTCAAGCACACAAAAAAACGCACACAAGCTAAAGTTACCTTGGTTGAATGTCACCTCCAGTTTCTCTTTATATAAAGGCAAATCCTAAAGAACACAAAATATACAAAAAAATGAAAGAAATACTGTTGTATTCCTAAAAAGAAAAAAAAGTATGCACCGTGACATGTTCTTCACCACAAAAATAAACAGATGATTGAAGTGGGGCCATAGGACAGAGAAGGAAGTCTTCATCTAAACTACATTTGAAATTACATTTTTGACTACAAAAAAGGAATTATTAATTTTTAGTTTAGTATTTGCCCAAATTAATCATCACAATCTACAAATGTTAAACTTTATTGGCAAGTTATTGTCTATGCAAAACACTATATACTTTCTACTATAACTTTAATCTATACAGACAAATAGGGCGTTTTTATTGAAGCTACCAAAATGTAACTGACCCTTCAGGGATATTGTAAGGAGATTTTTCATTTGTACATGCTACAAATGTCTGGTCGTTATAACTTTTGTTAATACATGCTGAAAATGTAAAGGGATTTTTAATGTGTGTATGTCTGTGTTATTACATTTATATTAACAGTCTGGTTATTACCCATCGGATAGGGAGCTATTTTGTGTGCGGAGGGATATGACGGTGAAGAGTTCACGTACGTCTTATATAAACGACCTTGACATGTTCACGAGTGGAATTAAGATATTATTGTCCTGAGGAACTGGCCCTCTCTGTGTGATTTGTGCTACACCCACGAACATATTTACCCAGGTAACACTTGGGATTCAGAACTAGTGTTACAATATTAAATCTGGTGTACTCAACTTGTTTCTCTCAAAAATACCAACAAAAAGAGAACAGATCAGACCACAACTCAACATCCTGTCCTTATTCTCATTTCATTCTGTTTTATTCTAAAACATCTTTTCTTCAGCAGACTTGTAAGAAAGAGCCCTGCGAGGTCTGGGCGGAGAGCTGGTGATCCTCGCTTTCACTGTAGATGTGACACAGGCCAAACATACATGCATGCAAAAAAAGAGATAGGAATGAGATAGAACTGTTTTGAGAGTGTGGAACTTGATTTACTTTAATTTATTTTTTACACTTTTCAATGTGGTTTAATTAGGTACCCAAGCTTTAATTATACATCACATCAAATATGTGCCATCTCAGTTAAAAGGATAGAGGGTCATGTTTTGTGTGTTCCGACTGTTTGTCCCAAGTGTGCATTTATGTGCTATGTATATCTGTATGCATGTGTGTGTCCGTATGCATGTGTGGGTCTGTGCATGTGTGGGTGTGTGCATGTGTGGGTCTGTGCATGTGTGTCTGTATGCCTGTGTGGTTGTGTGCATGTGTGGGTCTGTGCATGTGTGGGTCTGTGCATGTGTGTCTGTATGCATGTGTGGGTGTGTGCATGTGTGGGTCTGTGCATGTGTGGGTCTGTGCATGTGTGTCTGTATGCATGTGTGTCTGTATGCATGTGTGGGTCTGTGCATGTGTGGGTCTGTGCATGTGTGGGTCTGTGCATGTGTGTCTGTATGCATGTGTGGTTGTGTGCATGTGTGGGTGTGTGCGTATGTGTCGGTTTGTGTGTGCATATGTTTGTGTCTGTCTGTGTGTGTGTGTGCGTATGTGTGTGTATGTATTTACCTGTAGATTCAGGGAGGAGAGGTTGACATCACGTCCCGTCTGTCTCTGCAGCTGCTGATCATGTGACACCACCACGTAGCCGTCACGCGTCAGTTGACAGTCCAGCTCGAACATCTGCGTGCCTTTCTCCGCCGCACTGAAGTCACAAACAAATAAAAATGTGTTTAAAAAGTTTTGAGAAATATGAAGAATCCCAGTGAAAATACAGATGGATACAGTTTAAGGCATGAGGAGAAACCTGTCGCGGCCAAAAGGTGTGTTGCACTTGGATTACTTCTGATCAAGCATTATTTTAGCATCAAGCACAGAAAACAGAGATGTGCATTTGGGTCAATCATAGACTGGCAACTTCCTTCACACCACTGCTTTTATCAGGTTTAGACCAGAGTCTTCAGGATTAATGCTAGTGCTGTCTGACGATTACTTTTTTTTGTTGGATTATTTGCATGAATGTCATAGTTAACTCGTGATTAATCGCAAATTTGTATCTATTTTTTACGTCCCCGAGAATTATCATTTTCTTATCAATGTGGAAAAGTGAATTGGCTGACAGTGTGTAATTGCTTTGGATTGAAAGAGTGTTATGTTTGACACTCCCACTTGATGCAGAATATCATACAATTCAATGCTGTCAATGAACCTATATAACATGTATAATTGTTGACAAAAAACCCCTTCTACTACTCTTTCTAAGCGGAAAGAGGGGAGAATAGAGGGGAGAGGAGGAGAGAGAGTTTTTAATCTTTTATATTTTTGAAGATTTTATACTTAAGAAAAAAAAAAGCCTTATTCTTTCTCTACTTCTGACTTGTTTCCCCCGAGAGCCAAAGTACTTTCCTATAGCCTGTGACTTCTTGTTACTTTCATGGCAATAAAAATGATTCTGATTCTGATTCTTAAAATGCAATATTTTGGACAGCACTAATTAATGTACAACCTTTTTTCTTCTTTATGTTTTCGAGTGCTGGGATTGTGAAAAGCTGTTCAGCCTTTCTCGTAATGATACATATTTTTGCACGTATGGCATCGTTGGCCAAATGCTGGACACTCGTTGTGGTGCGTGGCTGCCTCCACAGTTGTGGCCGTTTGAAGTATACTTGTTTCAACTTTGTCCTTTGGTGATTGAGGAGGATATTCGCTTTAATCTTTGCAGGTTTGTCTGAGTGTGCTGCCTCTAAAAAGATTTCATATCCTCTTTCTAAAACACACCAGCTCTCGGCGAGGTCTCCATAACAAAACAAGCGTCTGTGAAATCCCTCTGAGCTTTACCTAACTTTTGATAATTGCACAGAAAAGCAGCAAAGGTCATGTCGATGGGCTTGTTACTTATTCTGATACAATATAGATTGAGCGAGGAGTCGTTGATAAAGTTTAGTTGTGTCTTTATCACATCTTGAACAAGGTGGCTGTACATGAAACTATTTGGCAAAGGTAAGGCAAAGGTACTTTTAAATCAGAATGATACTCAATATACGAGAACTCCCAGCATGCAGACAAAAGTTGCAAAAAATGGGCAGAGAATAAAGCCAAAGCAAATGTGTTTAGTTTGCACAGAAACAAAATGTGCACAGAATGCTTTTAGACAAAACTTGAAAAAAATATATATATTATTGTACAATTTCGAAAATTACTAATATTTTTAGCTCAATGCTATTATAAAATTGTTCATGATGCGTTTAAAATAAAGTGGAAATTATTACAATTTCAAATATGACCAATATTTTGAGCTTTCAGAATGGTTTCAGAATCTTTTTTTTAATCAAGTTGTCTATTGGTCAATACAGAAACACCGCACATTTACAAGTCCACCATTTTATTCCAGGCAATATTTATTATATTGCCTGGAATAAACTACTCGACTACAACTCTAGTGATATAGAATGTATAAAATGTAGGGGAAAAAAACAGTGATTAAAATTTGTAAAAACACAAAAATGAAGACTGTCAATAAACTTAATAAACCACAGAAATATAATTAAATAACTGAACAGCAAGTCCCACACACTGCATTGTTCCAGTCAAATACATTCAATTAAATCATATATACATAAATGAAAATAAAATGCATAAAATAAATTATATAAATGCATGTTTTTTGGATAAAGATCACAACATACACTCACTTTGTGAACGCCTCCATGGTGCTTTCTATCCTCTCCCCACATCCTGCAGACCACAACACACGCCAACATCACAACTACATTCATTTTGTGAAAAGGCAAAACATATTTTTTTACGATTGATGTACAGACATGGTAAAAAAAAAAAAAAAACAAACAAACCCTTCTTACCTCCTCGGTGGGAGATGTGCCTGGCAGAGAAGGCGGCCCGTTTCTTTTTGTGCAGTACATGGGGGTTCTTCAGCAGATACAGGGAGGCGAGTGTGTATCCTCCCAACGCAGGCAGGACGAAGTAAAGAAAACTCATCTCTGCTCCCAAACGCACAGCAACACAGAAACTCAGCAACTCAACGCTTGTCTGTGGGAAAATGCCAAAGGCTGCAATACAGTCAACAAAACTGGATACACCACATTTCTAAAGAACCCTGGGCTCTTTAGAAATGATACAAACTTTAAAAAACAAGTATAAAGTGGCTATTCCCAGAGTTTTAATTCTACCTTTCAAATGAAATCTAGGCGTCTATGCTGCCTATTTCTTGCACCTGAATTCCACAGAGTTATAAAAG